CAGGGCGCTGTGGACATGGTGTACTTGTATCCTGATTGGCCCATTAGCTCAGGCTTCTTATTAACTGTTATAACTTATATTAGCCCATAATTCTTGTCTATATTAGCCATGTGGCTTGGAACCTTTTTTGGCGAGGCAGTCACATCTTGCTTGCTCTGTGTCTGGCTTCCTCTCTTTCTGGTGTTGACTGCAGAATGAATCTTTTTCCTCTTTCCAGAATTCTCATTGCCCTGCCTCTACTTCCTGCCTGGTGCCCCACCTCTACTTCCTGCCTGGCTATTGGCCAATCAGCATTTATTTAAAATACAAGTGACAGGGTACAGACCATTGTCCCACAGCAAGCAATGTTCTCAGTAGAGGGGCCAGCCATTTGGAATGGAGTTGGGTGTGTCTGTGGATTATGTTCCAGTACATAGTACTCTTATCCATTGAAAGTCCATTTGATTGATGGTCAGGGAAACTGGTGGGATCCAGAGTCTAACAGGTACCTTGGACCTGCTCTGCTAAGACACTGAGAGGGCTGAGGCCTTTATCTGTCATGATCTCACTACTCAGAGATATATGGTGTTAGGTTCCTTTTGCCCCTTCCTCAAGCCTTCTGTGTCTCCCTCTTCCAGGAAGCTCACAACCGCATCTCCAGCCACATTCCTTTGATCATCCAGTATTTCATCCTGAAAATGTTTGCTGAGCAGCTGCAGAAGAGCATGCTCCAGCTCCTGCAGGACAAGGATTCCTGTAGCTGGCTCCTGAAGGAACGCAATGACACCAGTGAGAAGAGGAAGTTCCTGAAGGAGCGGCTGTCAAGGCTGTCCCAGGCTCGCCGCCGGCTAGCCAAATTCCCTGGTTAAGCTGGCTCTGTCCTTCCCCATGTCTCCTGGACAGTACTTAGTGACAGAAGGGCTCCTGCCTTTCCTGGTAGCTATACCACCACCCTTTAGCCTCTGACCTGGTATTGGTGTTAGCAATCAGGAGCAAAGGGGAGCTTTCTGCTCACTCTAAGATGAGGAAGGAGAAGAGGCTCTCAAAACACAGGAAGTAGATGTGTAGACAATGCCACTTTTCTGTTATGACAATGACTTCACCCTCAGAACCTTTCCCACCTTAGCCTCTACTTTCTTAGCACCTGTTTCTGTGCACCCTACTAGTTTAATACACAAATGAGCCATGGTCTTGGGAACTGCCTACTGTATTCCTAATGAACCACTTTTGACTCTTCTCTGACTCACTTTGAATTGGGGGAAGGGTTGCACAGGACTGCCAGGGATAGAGGGCAAGTGGTAAAAATAAGGACCACTAAAGCCAACTTCCCTTGGGAATTGGGGACCAAGGAGGGTTTACTTCCTAGGAACCACAGCAAACGGAGACAAGCTTGGAAAGACAGACAGTTGAACACACAAATTCTTTGTGCACATGGCTACTGGCCCGCAGGGAATGCAAAGCAGTCGCAGTGTGAGCAGAGGCTGTGAGAAGTTCTGCATGCCCAGCTCTGGTAGAGAAACCACCTAGGGTAGGACCAAGTCAGCTGAGGGGACAATACCCTCCCTACAGGAGAGCTGCAGAGTCCTTCCAGACTGGGAGGTGAGTAGATACAAGCCACACCCTCAGGCCGACTCCCCTCGAACTCAGCTCCAGATCCACAGAGCACGACCTGCCTTGAAGGTTAGGAAGCCTTGGGTGCAGGTCACAGCACTGGCTGGGGACAGATGCCCAATATAGGTTTTAACACCAGGTCCACTAAAGGAACACTAAAACATCAGGAATGCTGGGCCCAGAAAGAAGACACACCTGGCAGTCAGGGGAGGGGCAAGAAGCTGAGGGACATTCTCTAGGAAACATGAGTAAGGACATGGGGAAGCAGAGTCCTTTTTATAGACTTCCAGAAATACTGACTGTCTCTAGAACTGTCTGTTCCCCAGGGGAGGGGGTGCTTTCAGACCAGCTGTATAACCACCCTGTCCCCTCCCAAACAGAGCCCATCCTATATGTCTTCTGACCCTTGAACTCTATCAACAGTGACTTCGGAAGGTTCTAGAATATGCTTACAAGAGGAATGCTAGGAAGACAATGGCCACTGTCCATGTCTAATTGTAAGGACCGGGCCAGATGACACCAGTAGGTTCCTCAGGACTGACTGACTACTTGCCATTCCTATGGTCACTGGAAATCCCAGAGGTATGAAGTACTTGAGCCTCCTATCACAGAAGATTCTGGGGAAATATGGTAGGCAGGGAGTTTAAACATCTCTGACTCAAGTGTGTATCCCTCCAGTTGACACAGAATTGACCTCTTGCTTCCGAAAGCAGCCCAGTGCCTGGCTGAGGAATTCTTCATGCCCGGATCCCTCTTCTGTATAACCCCAACCCCAACCTAGCTCCATCTTCCGGGGACATTAGGTTCTGATGGGTCAGAAACACTCAGAGGCATCCAAGTATCAGATGGACCTTGCCTGATTGCACTGGGTGAAGGGGCAGACAAGAGTCTATGCTACAAAGAAGGGAGTTTATGGGGAGGTAGCCTGCTGGGCTAGGAGGATGTTCTTTTGGGGCCATAATGAACAAGGGTGTGGGGTCTGTCCTTGTGATAAGAACCCAGAATGAGAACTCTAGGACACCTCCATGAGATTCCAGCACTGGGAGAGGCCAGGCTCAGGCCAAAGCTTGTCAGTGCCCCCAGGATGACAGCCATGCCCCAGCTATTGTCACAGGCTGTGTACTACCTGCGTGACATGCTCCTATCAATGACGCTGGAACTTGCAGTTGATCTCTCCTGGACCCTCTAGGAAGGGTGAACGTTAAAGACTGGGGCCTTGGTGACCATTACAAAGTGAGGAGGTTTAGTGTAGCAAGGGGAGATAAGAACAGAATGCAGTCGAATGCTTCGGTTTTTCAGAATACTAGGGATGGCACGCTGCAGGAGCTCAACCATGCTGTATGATGGGAGTCCACATGAACCTGTTTCAAAGACCTTGTGGACACGATGTTCTCAATAAGGGGAGCCTTCTGCTTTCTATAAATCCACTGCAAGTGGAGCGGACACTTGCCACCATCCAACCAGCACACACACACTCCCAACCAAGGGGGGAAGCTGGGGTGTGTGTGTGTGTGTCCCAGTAACAGGTGACAAGGAGCCTGAGAGGAACACAGCAGGGATGCTGGCTTACCAGATCCTTTATTCTCCTCCCAGGGAACCTACCTTTGTATTCAGGTCAGGCAGTGTTCCAGCTTTTACCTCAGGTACCGCACATTTGGGATGAATTAGCAGCTCCCTAAGGGGAGACCTAAGGCTTCTTTCCAAGCACAAAAATTAAAGCCCTTGTCAAACACTGCACCCAAGTGAACTGGGCCACATCACACCATATAGACACCCCTCTGTACTGTGATTGGACAGAGTTACACCAGGCAGGTATGTCTCTGGAATCACAGTCTTGGCCTGAATGGAAAATAGCTTTGAAATCAGGGACCCAGGGACATGAGCTCGGGGTAGGAATGTCACCCCCAAACTCAGCCAACCAGTGATCATTTCGAGGCTGGGTTTAGCTTCCTTGCCCAGCTGTGAGAAGCTGCCAATGTTTATTTTCACTCTAATGAAAGACTGGGTTAATTTACATTCAGAAAATTAATAGTGTTTTACTACACCGGCACAAGTGCTTCCTTCTTCTCATTGTTTTTGACGTAACCTTTCAAGTGAAGTCGGCGTCATTCACAAATGACACCAAACTATGAAATTTTCCAACCCAAACAAATCAAACATCCCAGCTTCTTTACCCAGGGTAACACATTAAACCAGCATCCTTCCTTACTGTCCCCAGTGTCTGACTTGTGAATTTCTCCTGTTAAAGATTAGTAGCAACCTAAAGGCAGAAATCTGCAGCTCCGAATGGGCATCCCCAGCGGAGGCCAGCAGCTGGCACTTTGCTTGCTGTTCAGCACACACTGGGCAAATCCTTCTCACAGCTATTTAGTTCCCTAAGTTGGACTTTTGTGTGTTTGCATTTTCATTGTAATTTTGCTGCCACACAGCCCTGAACGCAGGGCTGCATATCTGTGATATATCTTCAGTCCAACAAGACATCTGATGGGAGCATGTTTGGGGAGGTTTGTGCAGGCTGAGCTATGAGGCTGATGTGAGTTCAATGGTGAGGAACCTACAGTTTATGTTAAGTATGGTGTTTAGGGCTATAGATACAACTCGGTTGGTAGAGTGCTTGACCAACATCCAGGAAGTTCTGGGTTCCATCCCCAGTACCATATGATACGCTGTGTGGTGATGCATGCCTGTGATTTTAGCTCTCTGGAGGTAGAGGAAAGAAGAAGGTCAAAGTTATCCTCAGCTATGTCGAGTTTGAGGCTATCCTGAGATAAGACCCTGGTAGAGGTTAGACAAGAACGGGGAAGAGGAAAGAAATGGTGTCAAGGGAGAAACACATATGTGCTAAGAACTCCAAGCAAAGTAGCTTTTAGCTCTTATGTGTGAGACCACATACATCCATCATTCTCCTGCCATGGCCCCACTTTCAGGCAGAGGAGTGAACACTGTGCGAGGCAGCATCTCTGACACCATGAACCATCTGGGGTTTGGGGAAGAAGCCACAGGGTACAGATGCTGGACTCATACTGAGTCAGGTTGCCTGAGGATGTGGGGAGCCTGGAGCTGTGTCTCCAGAGCTAAGGGTCTCCATACGACAGCTGACACAAATCGGATTTACCATGTGCCTGCTCTGCTCCTTTCTAGGACCAAGGGGCTGTGAGGGAGGGTTGAGAAGGAACTGAGGAGGAGAGGTGGCAATGGTGGCTCTTGGAGTCTGGCTTTGGGGGTGCTGTGCTGGTAAAGATCTTACAGGAGTCACTGGAAGACATTGCAAGAGTCCAAACACAGGATCCAACCAGGGCCGGGCTGGTGTTCTGACAGGATCACTCCCCAACCCAGCAGCAGCTCTGACATCCTTCCCGAACTATTGCAGCCTGGCCCTGCCCCTGGGGCACAACCACAGATCCAATAAATAATGGAAAAAATTATAAACTTTATTTATATATTTCACAGTGGAAACTCAGAACAGACATAAAGCAGGAAACAATCAACCAAGAGCACAGAGAGGGAGAGCTGAGGAGGGGACATGTTCTCACACTTCAAGGTGCTTACACATTTAGTATGGCATTGCATCCAGAAAGTCCCTGGGTGTTGCTCCAAGAGGAACCATCATGGAGTAGATGGCCCTCCCCTGGATAGGAGTCCCTTCACAGAAAAGATGGAGTCCCAGTTGTGACCCATCCACTGCCTTCTGGATAACTGGGCAGAGGAAAGGAGGCAGAGCCTCTCCAGAGGTAAGACACTAATACTTCATACTTGATAATTCTGGGATGGTCTTCCTGGTGAAAACCCAGGAACAGAAGAGAACACAGGACAATGACTTCTTTTTTTCATCTTTGTCCCACACTAAGGACTTCCAGTCCCATCCCCATTCTACAGAACAACCTCACCATCTGGAAGAGGTCTGAGGCACAATCACACAGTTCAAATGGAGGTTAACTCTAGCCATCTGTCTGGGCTAGTGTTCCAGGAGCAGCGAGGTAGTAAGAGGAGAGACATGACCCAGAAGCAAGGTGAGTGGAATCATGTGTCCCTGACTTTGATGAACCTCATCCTCCGGGTGTCTAGGTGAACTATACGGGCTCCATCAGGTACCAGGCCTTGCCTGTGTCCAAGGCTCTGAGAGGCTGAGAAAACAGTGGTGGAGAGCCGAGAACCAGACTGAACTACACCATCTGGGGCTCACCCAAGGGGAACATGGTGACATTAGCTTTTTGCTCTGAAGGCTCTCGGCCTGGCAAAGGCTACATCACCCTTGGAAGTGGCTGTCATGTCAACATGCAGGAGTGCAAGCCATTTGTTCCAAGCTGTGTTCACTCTGGCTGCTAATGAAATCATTATAGTACGACCAGCCCAAACTGCACAGCAGAGCCAGGCCACAGGCTACAGGTAGTTAGTTCTCTTTTAAGGTGTCTGTCCCAGGGCCCAAGGCCTCCCTACTCTTTCTCAGGCCATCAGGCTGCTCAGAGATCACAATCCTTGCTCATCCAAAAGAGGTCTGAGAATAAACCAAAAAGGAGGCCTAGCATGACGGTGCCACCCTCCTTGGCATCTGGCCCTTTGTGCCCAAGCCCGGCAGGATCCCTTCTGGTTAGGAGCCACAGAAGTGACCTGGGGTGGGGCACTGGATCCCGCACAGGACCAGGGAGCACAGTCAGACAAGTCACTGTTTAATAAAGTGAAAGGCCCTTTGAATCATCTCAAAAGGTACATTGTACACAGGAGTTAAAAATCAGCCCCTGGGTTTTCTTGCGGAAGGGTGTCGAAGACAAAAGAAGTCAGGGACAAAGGCCACGTGGGTGGATTAGCTGTTCGCCTGTGCAGACAGGAAGAAGAGATGAGGTTACTCGCCTAACACAGACAAAGCTGCCTTTTTTCCCCCGTGGTGATGTGAGAAACCCAGAGTCTGAGCACAGGCCTCACAGACTTCTGCAGGTCAAGCTCAGGTCACAGGGGCAAAAAGCACATGGGTCTCTGCCCAGAAGCCTTGCTTGGCTCAGGACACGCTCTACCAAGAGATGTCATGTGTGGGGTCCGCCATTCTTACCTGTGCTGTCCCTTCCCACTCAGCACTGGCCTTCCTCAGTCATGCCGAGTGGCCTTCGGGCTTAAGAATACCTGCTGGTCAGCTCCCTACATTCTGCCCCTCTCTCTAGCCTCCTCTTTGTGCCTCCCAAGCACAGTCTGGCTTCTCTGTTTCCACTTCTGCCTCTGCCAGGAGAGGGTTTCTCGTGGAACGATGTGATACCCTGAGCCCAGGTTTCACTTGCATTGACATGGTCAGGCCTCATGACAATGCCCCAGTCTTGGTCCCTCTTTATCAGGCAGATACTAAGGGATATTCTCTTTCTCTAGAAACCCCTCCTATGAGTTTGTGTCTAAGGAGACCATCATTCTGATCCCTGGGATGGAAGGGCCTGGAGCTCTAACCGTGTGTGAATGAGCCAGGAGGACCGACTCACAGGAACCCCTTGGCTTCTTCCATGCTGTGCCAACTCCCCTGGTCCCATGTTGGGGACTTGAGATCTCTAGCCACCCATCTCCCTCCAAACATGAAGGCTGCCCTAAAGCTCCCCCAAGAGACCCCTCTGAGGAAGAGTGCCATTCTGACTATGCCGGTGCCTGGTTCTGCTGACCGTTCACTAGAATGGGAGCCAAGAAGGTCCTGTGAGTCCAGCTCTGCCATCAGCAATAGCAGGGAGGACAGTGAGGTTGATATGCCCCCCCCCACACACAATCACCACCACCACTACCCCCAGCCACCGCCAGAGGTGAGCAGGCACCACAGTCTCAGGGATCTAGAGGGAGTGGGAAACCAGAGGGATTGGGAGAGGGGAGCTCTGGAACAGAGGGGTGAAAGGTGATCCAGGAGCAAGCAGTTCAGGATATGAAAGTGTCTGCTTCCTGCCATGGTGCACTCTTCCCAGACCTGTGACTTGAGCTCAAGGAGATAGACACCCCAGGAATCAGGATGTTACCTTCATTTGCTGGTAGATCCAGTCTGTAAATACTGTCACATTCCCGTACACTCCAGGTCTTAACTCCTTGGCACAGCCAGAGCCCCAGCTCGTGTCCCCAATCAGCCACCAGATGTCATTCTTCAAAGTAACCAGCGGCCCTCCGCTGTCTCCCTGGGGAACACAGCAGGTTACTGAGAAGAGAAAGGCCCACGCCAGCACCCTGGCCACCACACACCACGCCGAGAGGACAGAGTCTCTGGATATGAAAGGGGGTCTGGGTCTGTCTCCTCGGCAGGAGGCAATGGTCATAGAGACATAATCCAAAGGACGAAGTTGGTCCAGGCCAGCTAGCTGTTACCAAGTGCATGGCAGAACACACTTTAACTACACCAACACTTGTGCAAACAAAAGTATCTCTTGAGACCATAGTATGCTAAGCACTGGCTTCTGCCAGAGGCGTAAACGCTGCTAGTGACCATCTTTCCCCACAGCTCTTCCAACTGGTCCTGTGCCCCAGGGAGGTACCTCTTACCCCTTAAGGGCCCCATGTCTCACAGGGTTCAATGGGAACTACACACTCCAGGGTTGAAAAAAAGAACTCAAAATTACCTGGCAAGAGTCCACAGTGCCATTCAGGAAGCCGGCACAGAACATGGCTGGTGTGATAAGGTTGTTGTATATGTATTTATTGTTACATTTGGAGGACTCGATCAGGAATACCTTGGCAGCATTCAGCACGTCTGAGGTCTTCCCTAACAACAGAGGTGTCAGCCAGCATGTCTTGTGGACATCTTCCTCAAGAAACCCACATTCTATGTAGACAATCTCATCCCTCTCTTCCGTCCTCCCTCCCTCCCTCTAATGGTTGACATTGATTGACAGGATCTAGAATCACCTGCGAGACAAACCTCTGAGCCTGTCTATGAGGGAGTTTCTAGAGCAGCCAAATCAAGTAGGGAAAATGCCCCAAAGATGGGTGGCACCATTGTATGGGCTGGATTCCAGGCTGAATAAAAAGGAGAACGTGGGCTAAGCCTCAGCATTCATCTCTCCCTTTCTGCATCTTGACTACATATACGTGACCCAACACCTTGAGTTCCCTCACTATGGACTGCATCTCCAAACTGCGGACAATACACCCTTCTTCCCTTTGGTTACTTTCGTCGAGTATTTTGTCACAGGAATGAGAAAGTCCTCCCTCAGTCCAGCCCAATGCCAAGCCTTTCCCTATGTGCTAAGTAGGGTTAATCTGATGTCTTCTGTTAATCAAACAGGGAAAAAGTCACATAACTTGGGTAGATTGCCCAAAGCCATTAGCCACTGAATAACAGAACTGAAATTCAAATGAACAGGTCCAGCTGTGGAAATCAGCGTCCTATCCTGGGTGGCCCAAAGCCTCACCTTTCTCATAGGTGGCCCCCCACCCTGAAATCCAGCACTCCTGGGCTGGATCCAGCATCATGCCTGGGTTCGGTAGACACACTGGCTTCACTACATCTGTTTAAAGAAGAATAGTGGGTGAGTTATCCAGGTCTAAGGGCCTCTGTGAGAGTCTCCCCTGACTGTCCTATGTCATGCCCCTGCACGAAACCGTGTTCCCGTCCTGGCAGGCCTGCTTTCTGACAGTTCCTATGGTCATTTGCTATTACATCTAGAATTAAGTGCTGACTCTGTTTCTAAAACACAGCACACAGGCTCTGAGTGACAGAGGAGGAAAGGACTGGTGGCGGCCATTGCTCAGAAGCTGATGGCTTTGCCCCAAAGTCACACCATCTCTCGAGAATCTGCTAGTTTGTGTGTGAGTACACACGCTTGTTTGAATACAAGCGCCTCAGAAGAGAAGTCTGTCATTACCTGTAGATTCTAGAAACTCCCATGCTCTTGCATAGACTAGAAAAAGGGTAATAAGCTAAAGAAGAGACTGGGGATGTAGTCCAGTTAGCAGAGTGCTTGCCTAGTGTACACAAAGCCCTGGGGTCCATTCCCAGCACCTCATAAAACCAGGCATGGTGGCGCATGCATGTAATCCCTGCACTCAGGCGGGGAAGCAAGAGGACCAGAAACTCAAGGCCGTACATGGCTATTTAGAAGGACCAGCTTAAGCTACATGAGAAACTGCCCCCCAAAAATACACTGTATACATTGTTAAAATCTCAAAGAATGAATCTAAAAGTATATGCTTAAAAAATGAAGTAGACCCTAGCAATGGTGACACATGCCTTTAATCTCAGCATTTGGAAGGCAGAAGCAGATGGATCTCTGTGAGTTCGAGACCAGCTTTATCTACAAAGTGAGTTCCAGGACAGCCAGGGCTACATAGAGAAAGCCTGTCTCGAGAAACCAAAAATGAATGATTGATTGAATGAATAAATAAATAAGGAAATAGTTTACAGACTATTTTTAATGAACAAACTTATCAAAGTTCTTTTTAAAATACATTAGTTCCATTTCTGTGATTCTTAAGTTCTTACAAAATATTGGTGAGAAAACACATTTAAAAAAAAAAAACTAAGGGTCTACATTTCAATTTTAAAGTATCCTGTTTTCAGAACATATTTGTTTTAAAAAGAAAAAAAAAACAGTTTTCTTGGGAGAGATGGCTCAGTAGTTAGGAGCACTGGCTGCTCTTTCAGAAGAGCCATGTTTGATTTCCAGCACTCACAGGGAGGCTCACAACTGTCCCAGGGAATGTGACACCCACCCTCTTCTGGCCTCTGTGGGCTCCAGGCACACAAGTGGAGAACAGACATACACGCAGGCCAGACACCCATCACATAAAAGTTTAAAAAATAATTTAAACATTTTTAAAAGCAGATCTTCACAAATTATCAGCCAGGTAATGGCCTCAGCAGGAGAGGATGCTGTCCCATAGGGACGGTAAGCAGTGTTTGAAGCTGGCTCTGACCCAAACAACTAGAGGGTGTTGCTGCCCTCTAGTGGAATGAGCCTCACATACCATTAAAAGTCAGAGGCGTCTGCAGTTTCATGAGAGCGATGTCGTTATTCTTGGTCTTGGAGTCGTAATTTGGATGGGAAATCACTTTTGCTACCAGGTGTCTTTTTTCGTAGTACATGTTAAACTGATTCAAAATCCCCGCGAACGCCGTCCAGTACCTCGGTTTGTTGAGGGGTCTGGGAGACAGGGGAACAGCATATGGAACTCAGGACCACAGACATGAGGGGCTCCCTCTACATCTTTAAAACACATGAGCTGAGGTCTGGAGTGAGATGAGTACCCCAAGCCACAGAGTACAACGGTGTGGCAGGGTGCTCCCCACTTTCCTCCCACCTCCTACAGCTCCCTGCTGCTGAACAGGTCTCTGAGGATTCTGTTACTTCTCCCGTCCTCTGCACCCGACCGCAGTAGGGCCGACACCGTTCTGTGAGAGTTAAAATCACATTTCTGACAAGACTGTCTCACGAATCTCTATACGCCAGAGCATTTACTGACACACTGCGGGTGCTTACTACATGTCTACTGATGGACATACTTGGAGTCTGATACCAGTCACGCTCTTCCTTGCATCTGGGATTTTCTTTGGGATTTTAGAAGAGCTTGAACTACCAGAGGGACCTCAGAGTCTGGGATTTAAGAGGAAGAGATGGCTGTTCCCTAACTGTGAGCATCCCTATCCTAGGCTGGGATGCAGCAGCAGACAGGAGAGACCACATGCACGTTTGTCTAATGAGGGGATGAGACTGTACACCTGCAGGGCATATGTTCCCCACCCAGCAGCACTCACCCCATGATACACACATAGCAGCTGCCATACAGCTCGCTGTGGGTCCCCTGGTGGCAGAGCCACACTCCAAACCCAGGAGTCTTGAGCCATGTGACTCCACCCTGCCATCATAGAATATAAACATACTCTTCCACACAGTGAGCGGCTGTCACAATCCAGTCAGGGGTGATGATGGAGCCTCCACAGACATGGGTGTCTTGGACGTGCAGGCTGACCTGCCAGGGCCAGTCTCCTGGTGAGGCATTCGATCCACCCACAATCCTGCTCTGGCGACTCACTGAGCGGACCCCACACTCTGAGGGTGACAAGCAGATGCTAGGTGTTAGTCAACAGGAGACACCAGGAGCAGCGTAGAGCCAATCATGTGTACTCAACTCAACTGCCTTTCTTTGGCTTCCCCAGGCAATGGGGCTGATGGAAGATGGCTGTCTCTGCCTCTCTTTCCCTGTTTTTAGGAGTCTTAATAAGCAAGTGGGGTGCGAAGGATCCAAGGGGCCACTCGTTTCCTGGTTGGAGCACAGGCTAATCCTTCTAGGTACCCAGTCCCACCAGATCTCTGATAGGCATGATTGGGAAGGTCCTGGGTAACAGGCTCCTCAGGGAGATTGATACAGTCAGGGTCCTCCCAGGACTTCTGGGCAAAGAAAAGGGTGGTAGATGAGGCCAGGAGTCAGTGAGGAGATGAGTGAGGGATTCAGCCTGTGCTAAAAAGGGGAGATGAGAGGAGGTGAGGTCATGCGAGGGGCTGCGTGAGGAGATAGGAAAAGGTTAATGGGGTGAATGAAGGCTGAGCACCTCTCAAGAAGTAAGAAACAGGTTATCTGCTGACCAGTTGACTGAGAGAGGAAATCTACTCCAGAGTTAGCAGCCCATGCTGGCCTGAAGCAGGGGTGGAGGGTGAGGGGGCAAGGGACAACCCTAGAACTTCACAGGTGTGGGGTAAGTTCTCAACAGAGAGAAATCAAGGTAATATGAGAAGTTGATATTGGAGACTACCTGATGTCCTGGAAGGGCCCCATGCCAGTGGCTGCTATGGGGTGCTAGCTGAGCAGACCTGGTACATCTCAGCACAGTGTGGGGCAGGGCTTCTGGACGTACCATCTAAGTGCCACCTGAACCTCGTTGTGAGTTAGTGGGAGCACCTGTGAGGCTCCTGATGTACAACACCAACTGGGGACCTTATGGAGACTCAGAGCTTCTTTGCTGAAAGGTGAGCTTCAACAGGCCTAGGCTAACTATCCATAGTTACCCAGTGTGGGGTTCATGGGTAGTTGGCACACATGGGGAGGGGGTGGGGGGCTAATTAGCTACCATACGAGCTATCGAGCAAAGGTAGAGTCAGGCTTTCTCCTTAGGAACCCCAGAAGCTGTGTGCCCCAGGGCAAGAATGAATGATACTGCTCTGGCTTTGCCCTAGGCCAGGTTACTGCTGCAAAGGCTCCAGGATCACAAACAGCTCATCCCTCCACTTCATGGAGAAGGAGCCACCAGGGCTCCCCACTCATGGTAGCACCTAAAAACAAGGCCCGCCAGAGTCCAGTCATCACCTGTTCTCATAGACACCACAACGCAGCAAAATTCCAAAACAGAGATAAGAGTGTAAGCAAGAGGGCTCCAGGGACATCTGGAGACTCCCCTCACCATATCCCAAGACCCAGGAACATTTTCCCAAAGCCAAAGACTGGCTCCTACTCAGAAGCATAGAGAAGTGCCCTTGGGAAGTTACTTACGTATACATTGCAAGGAAACCACCATGCGGGATGAACAGGAATCACTGGAAAGAAAGGACTCTGGTTACCACACCCAGGAATGAAGACACTGAGGTCTTCTAGTGTTGCCTCCTGTCTACCACTAATGACCCTACTTATGTGACTAGATCTACATGGGGATAGTGGCAAAGAATGGATACAATCAGAGTACCATGATCAGATCCCAGCTATTCACTTTTGGGCATGATGCTAACCCTCCCTCTGCCTTTTTCCAACAGGTAGAATAAGATTACAATTCAAAGACAGGCATGGTGGTGCACACCTTTAATCCCAGCATTTGGGAGGCAGAGGAAGACAGATCTCTGTGTTCAAGGGTCAGCCTGGTCGACAGAATGAGTTCTAGGACAGTCAAGGTTACACAGAAAAATCATGTCTCCAAAAACAGCAACAACTAACAACAACAATTCAAGTTTGTCCCTGGTCTGCAATGTGCCAAAATCTTAAAACTTTGGATTCCCAACACAATATAAGTGGAAATTTTATACCTAACCATATGCAGAGGGCCACAGCCCCAAACCATAGTCATGCTAAGGCCCAGCAAGAAGATGGCTCAGCAGTTGAGGGTACTTGCCTCCAAGTCTGACACTCTGAGTTCAATCCCTGGAATCCACATGGAGAGGACTGATTCCTCTGACCCCCACATGTGTATCATAGCAGTACCCCCACATAAATAGGCTAGATAAATTTAAATGAAGGAACACATGAAATGAATCAACTCTGTTCTTACATTTGAGTCCTAACCCCAAAATGTCCCACATAGGAGTATTTTAAAGATCTGAATGAACTCTGAAATTCTTCCTGCCCACATTTCGGTGCAAGAATGACCTATGAAACTGCTAGGACAGTGGCTTGGGGGTGAGGGCGCAGTTGCATCAGCTTTCACTTCTGCCCTTGTATAATTTAAAATCATCCTCTAGTCTGGGTATCACAATAAAACATTTGAAATTTCAGTGCCCAAGAGTCTGAGGCAGGAAAATCACCAATCCAAAGCTAGCCTTGGCTACATAGCATGACGCTGCTACCAACGAATGAGCAGGCATCAACTAATGTCATCAGAGAGTGGTCTGGAAACTTCCAACTTCCCTGGACGGCTTTACATGCAAACCACAGATGACAACGAAATCAACACTTTGCCAGTGACTAAAACAAAACAAATTTTAAAAAGCAGCGCTCAGTTGGAAGCCAAACTTCCCGTGCTGTGTATGAGAAAGAAAGAATCAGTGTATTCCGTCCTAGACACTGTCCCTGGCGCACCGAACAGCACACAGTCCTGATGTCCTGATGCCATCAACTGCCAGCTGTGGTTCTGAGGAGACGTTGACTTCCCAAACATGATGTCCCTTAGGGCCACTTCGACAGATAGAGTCTCTCATGTATAAGCCCACTCCACTGTCACCCAAGCACACACTGAATGGGAACCTATCCAAACCCCCAAATAAAGAGCTGCCATCACCTGCCCTGGATAACATGTGCTCCCACCAGGGTACCAGGTGGAGAGCCTCAAGAAGGGAACATTGGAAAGAGGGCATTTCTGCATCCAATGACTTCATTGAAGCCTCGACTCTGAACACACACCACGGGCACTTTGTACACACACACAGTCAGGCCATATGCACCAACGAATGCCCCTGCAAATGCCTCTCTGCGGGTTCTAGGCTTGTGTGTGTAAGGAGCTGTAGAATGTTACTGCAATGCCCCATTTCTGTGTATAATATATACAAGTTTAATTACAGAATGCAGAACTCTTGGTATTTTCCTATCATTACTCCTGTGTATGTAAATTCGCATTTTTTAGGTTATATTGTGCTATACTAACAAACTTATTCATCTCATTAGTATGCAAATTTGTTTTAAGCTGTAGTAAGTAGCAAAATCATATGTATTCATAACTAGTGCTTGAAGACAGATTTATTTATGATTTGTTATCAGTAAGCATGTGGTTTGTGTATCTATCTTATAGTCCTATGCTGTGGGACTTGTGTACCCTGTCTCTTGTATTTTAAATAAATGCTGATTAGCCAATAGCCAGGTGGGAAGTAGAGGTGGGGGTAGCAAGAATTCAGGGAAGAGGAAATAGTCAGTCTGCAGATGTCACTCAGAGGAAGCAAGATGTGACAGCTTCGCTGAAAAAGGTACCAACCTACATGGCTAACACAGACAAGAATTATGGGCTAATATAAGTTATAAGAATTAATAGGAAGCCTGAGCTACTAGGCTAATCAGTTTATAATTAATGTAGACCTCTGTGTGATTTCTTTGGGACTAAAAGGCTGTGGGACCAGGTGGGACAGAAATCTCGGTCAAGAAATGGTGTGCCAACGTGGGGCTGACCAAACCCACTTAAAAGCCTGAAAGAGCTTGGGAAGTTACTCTAGATAGAAAAGAATAAAGTACAGCTTCTTGATAGCAGCACTTTCTCAGGTGAGCTCTGCTTGCTAGAGGCAAGCGCTCTCATTTACGAGAGGCTTCTGGACACAGCTTTTAACTTCAAAACCTTGCAGCTCTTTTAAGAGGTCCTGCCATGAAACACTTAAATGGTGCTGATGAAAAGTTGACTGCATAGTTGGTGGTGGTGTCAGGGACCTTTAAATGCCATAGAGTTGTGGCAATAAACATGGCTCTGACCAGTACCCCTGCCATGAGGCTAGACTTTCAGAAAAAAACTAAGAAATAGTCTGGATCCAGCCTTCAAAACCATTGTTTCACCCTAGCCATATCGATTAGCAAAAAAAGACACATGTGGTCAGAAAAAGAGAAATACAGTAAAGATAGTTTCAGATAAAAAAAAAGCCTCTAAACAGTTTACAGTATGTTTAAAAATATATGCAAAAAAGAAAAAAGATAAAGTCCTTAAAACAAGAAAGAAAGAGAGTATTTGGGTGTGGTGGCACACACTTTTAATCCCTTGGGAATCAGAGGCAGATGGATATCTGTGAGTTCAAGGTGTGGTGGTACACACCTTTAATCCCAACACTTGGGAGGCAGATGGATCTCTGTGAGTTCAAGGTGTGGTGGTGCACACCTTTAATCCCAACACTTGGGAGGCAGAGGCAGGTGGATCTCTGTGAGTGAAAGGACAGCCTGGTCTACTGAGTGAATTCCAGAACAGCCAAAGATACACAGAGAAACCTTGTCTCAAAAAGCCAAAAATTAAAAATAAAAGAAATAGAAGTTAAAATAAAGCCATGTAAAGATGAAAAATACACAGAGAGTCTGAATACTGAATGTTATTGTGTTGTCTTTAAATTGTTTGATGGCTGAGGAAGGAACAAAAGCTGCCACAAGACATTTGACTATAAATGCTGCTGGATTAAGCCAACATATATATTTTGAAAATACTTTTACTTTAAAATATAAGTCAAAAGGTATGTTACTGTGGAGAAGAGGTTTTGCTTTTGTTTCCACAGGAAATGAGGGACTGTGGGTTCATTCTGCATTAAGAAAAATCAGGTTTGACCAAGGAAGACCCCCATAAGAAATCTCTAATAGGAACAGATGGCCCAGATGTCTGAGTTCTGCATCCAGAACAGTTCAAAGACTGCTGCCTGAGATGATCAAGCCTTACAGGATACTCCAGTCAGGACTTGATCATAATTTTAAATTTTCTTTAGGTCCCCATAAGGTTATCAGCACCCCCAATCAGCAGGAAGTAGCCTGGAAAGCTATACCCACATCCCCAAAAATGGATTATAAATGTTTGCCTTTGTTTAGAATGTTGTTTACAAGTTGTTATGGAAAATGATCAGTAGAAAAGCTAAACAAAGGAGATTAGATTCAGAGTTCATGTTTTTTAAAAACATGGAGGGGCTGTGAGACTTGTGTACCCTGTCACTTGTATTTTAAATAAACACTGATTGGTCAGTAACCAGGCAGGAAGTATAGGTGGGGCAACGCAAATTTGGGGAAGAGGAAACAGTCAGTCTGTAGTCATCACCCAGACACAGAGGAAGCAAGATGTGACTGCCTCGCTGAAAAAGGTACCAAGCCAGGTGGCTAACACAGACAAGAATTATGGGGTAATATAAGTTATAAAGTTAATAAGAAGTCTGAGCTACTAGGCCAATCAGTTTATAATTAATGTAGACCTCTGTTTGATTTCTTTGGGACTAAACGGCTATGGGACCTGGTGGAAAAGAAACCTTGGTCAATGGTTCTATATACCTGGGTCACATAAAATTTTCTCAGGTGTAAAGGAGTCACAATTTAAGGAACCCAATACTAGACAATACCTTTCCTGCCAGCCACCTCTGGAAGTGTGAAGGCCCTCACCTAGGATGGTGAGCTGAGTTTATCCCTTCCCTGCTGTGGTCCCTTCTGCAACAGCAGCCTATACCTCCTCTCTCCTCCCTTCCGCACTTGCCAGCTAGGCAAAATCCTAGGCCAGAGTCCTTCCAGAAGACAAAGAGCCATTCAATTCACATAAAACCCCTGCCGCCTATGGTAAGCCCTGCTGTCTGGATAGTAGACCTTGTCAGACACTGCTCTCCAGCTTGGTCAGCCCTGCTACATTCTCAGGGACAGCCAGCCTAAGGCAGGACATCCTGACTGGTAGTCACCAGGAAGGCAAGCAACTCAGTAGAGGTAGAGTGAGTGATTAGTTCTCCAGCCCTGACATGTAGTTCCTGACAGCTGGCCCTAGAAGCACCTGAGCCGCCTAGAGATGAGCAATGAGACCCTGGGAAGTCTCTGCACAACATCAAAAGCACCTGGAGAAGAGCAATGACCCTGTAAACATACACACAAATGACGACAGTCTGCGTCCCCCTCCAAACTCCCAGCAGCTCAGCCATTAGCCCTATGATCTGTGGCTTGGGTACAACAAATGTTTATTGAACTAGAAACTTGCACCAGGGCCCAGAACATCACCCCATGTCATCCTCTCACTGCCAGCCATGGGCTGAAGTCAAGGGCCAGAAGATCTCTTGCACTCCTAGTGCCCAAAGTGCCATACAGTTTTACTCTCTGAGCTGATGCCAGAAATAAGTCCCAGAGTCTATGTTCCGGGTACTGAGAGAGCAGAGACTTGATTGAGGCAACTGTGATGTGAAATTGTCTTTGGATGCAGGAGTCTCTGTGACAGAATCCTGGTAGCCTCATAAGGAGAAGGAGAGAGGCCATACAGAGCTTACTTAGTGTTGCTGCCACGGTGAGATGTGACCCTGGGACCCTGCTAGAGTTGTGTCATGCTATAAGCAACTTGAATCTCTAAAAGAATGAGTCAACAAAAACAAAAATAAAACCCTTTTCTCTACAAAGGGACAAAGAGCTAACTAGCATAAACCCTAGCACAGCAGACATACTTCCTCTCCCAGTAAACAAATAAACAGCCACAAAAGTCTGGCAGACAGTAGAGATCAAAACCAAAATGGCAAAATGGTATGTAAGTCCCAGATAGTTGCTAGAATGAAGCCAAGGTTGCCGTGCAGGTCCTGTCTCTAACTCTACCAGTGTGAAGCTTATCCACTACCACCACCCAGAATACAGTCTAGAGAAATCGACTCAGGAAGGCAGCATCTATGGGATCTCCTCATCCTTCTCAAATTCTGCAAATCAAAGGAGCCCTCTGTACCTGTAGTAGAGCTTTTTATAAAGGTCGATGTTGCCCGCGCTTATGTTCAGCTTCATAAAGCTTCTTGTCCCGAAGATGTCTTGTATTCCTTCACTACGATAAAAATTGTCCCTGGAGATGACAGAAAATCTTACTGAAAATGATGTTTTAAGCATATGAGCTCACAGAGTATGCCCCACATCACAAAGCCAACCTGGGAGCATGGCTACAATAGAAGGAACACCTGGATGCTCCAGAAAACAAAACCTAAGTTCAGATTCATCCATGCTGTGTGAACTCCAGAAACCTTGACTTGTAAAGTCAGAATCTTTCATCAGCTGTGTTTCAGACACAGAGTTAGCCAGGACAATGGGCTGCTAAAGATGCCCAATTACACACAGTCTAATAAAATGTACAGTTGTTAGTCTGCCTTGTTATAAAATCCCCACTGGTTCTGGATCTGGAGGTGTCTCTGTGTACACAAGATATATGTGAGCATGTGGAGACCAGAGTCAACCCTGAGCATTTCCCTCAATTGCTCTCCACCTTCTGTTTATTATTTATTATTATTATGTGTGTCTGCCTGCACGTATGTCTGTGCATCAAACATAAGCCTACTGCTCTCAGAGGCCAGGTGAGGGCACTGGGTCCTCTGGAACAGGAGTTACAGATGGTTGTGAACCCCTATGTGGGTGCTGGGGACTGAACTCAGACTCTCTGGAAGGAGAGCCAGTGCTCTTAACTGCTGAATCAGCTTTCTGGCCTCTTCTCCTCTTGTGTTTTGAGCTTGACTCTCCAACAGGACCTGGACATCATCAATTCAGCTAGGCTGGCTGGCCAGCAAGCCCCAGAGATCCTCCTGTCTCTGCCTCTCCATCACTGAGATTACAGTTTGCCTTCATGTGGGCCTTTATGGGGGTGTTGGGGATCAACCTGAGGTCCACATGCTTTTGTGGTGAGCACTTTACCCACTGAGCTGTCTCCCCAGCCCCATATGGTGGCATTTTGAAGTGTCTCGTTAGCCGAGATGTCAACTTTTCATTTCAAATAGCAATTCACCTTTGAGAACTGGCAAATAGAATGCCCTAGTGTGTATAGGATCTCACAACTGCCCCATGGAAGAGAAATCCCCATTAGAATCATAACTCTCTTCCCAGGCCTGAGGCTTGCCAGGCTTCGTGAGAGCCGTAGTTTGGATGTGGTTCACCTGCTCCAGCTCCACACTGAGAGGTCTCTGATGCAGCAGTGTTGAGAGGCAATAGGAACTTTAAGTAACCTTGTGTCACAGCAACTTGTCTCTCATAAAGGGATCAATGCCTTTCTAAGGGGTTGATTTAAGTCTCTCCAGAGCAGGTTGTTACAGCAGATCTAGTCCCCTCAATACCCGCCTGACATGTGCTCATCGGCTCTTTTCTACCGTGAGGTGAAACAGTACAAGGCCTTCACCAGAAGCCGACACATGATCTTTGATTTCCTCCGGAATAGTGGGCTAAAATAAATCCCCATTCCTTACAAAGTACCCAGCCTCAAGTGTTTTGTTATAGCAGAAGAAGCTGGGCAATGCTGGAGCCCCTGGCCGGGAAGGGATGGCGGGAATTGTTCCTTCTCAACCCTGGTTGCTGCACACAGAAATGAATTCTTTCTTCTTTGGTTATTTGAGACAGGGTTTCTCAGTGTAGCCCTTGCTGTCCTAGAACTCACTCTTATAGACCAGGCTGGCCTCAGTCTCAGAGATCTAACTGTCTCTGCCTCCTGAGTGCTGGAATTAAAGTTGTGCAACCATTACCAGTTGGCAGAAAAGAATTCTTAAGTGTGGTTCTGCTCAGGTCTCTTCCACACCCAGAGCCTTCAGTGGCTCCTGCCTATAGTGAACAGAGCAAAGACTCAGCTCATCTGAAAAGTTCCAGGGACAGAAAATGACCATTGCCTTTGTCTAACGTCCCTCGTCCTGGGACTCCAGCACTGCATGGGCATTCCCAGTAGCCAGGAAAGATCGCAGGACAGGTGGCAGTGAGCCTAGGCTGAGGTTGCCCTTGGTTGTAGGATCAGCTTTTGGAGGGTAACGAGTGTCTACAGCATCCAGTGCCCGGGACATACAGAGTTGGAGAAATGGTCTGCCTGCTGCCAGTGCCGTTGTGATGGAAGGCACCATACTTACTTGTAGCCCATTTCTTTACAGGCTGCTCTCCCGTAGCTCTCATTCCAGTCATCCTGGCACACGGGATACCAGGCTTTCCTCTGAGATGAGTAAACCTGGAGGGTGAAGCTTGGTCCATAGAGACGAACTGCCCAGGGAGAAAGAGAGCTCATAAGTTCTTGACTCTCAATCCACATCTTCCAGAGGCTGTCCAGTCCCACACTGTCCATGCACATGTTCCCAGCTTCTTCCTAAGGCCATGGTTGTGCACACAGGACCGTGAACCCCTGTTTCCCTGATAGAAATCATTTTAAAAGAATTCTGAATGGAAATGGCCCACAGCCCATTAGTGATCATCTTTGGATGTCATAGCCAAGCAACATGGTGGAAAGTCATTCAGTTGTCAGTGGGAATGAAGCCCTGACAGAGGCCACAAGGAATGAAGCTCTGACAGAAGCCACACACAAAGGGGTCTTAGAGGCATGACACAAAGTGAAAGGAAGTCACAGCAGCCAACAGATCGGACAACTCCAAGCATATGAGGAGTCCAGACTAGAAAACCCAAGGCCTGGAGAGATGACTCAGCCACTAAGAGCACATACTGCTCTTGTAGAGAACCCAAGTTCAGCACCCATGTTGGTCAGCTCAGAACTATAGTTCCAGGAGATCTAACGTCCTTATTCCTGCCTTCTGTGACATTACACTTATGTGGTATACACACATTGCTACATGCTAGGCAATAGGATATCACTCATTACCCAGGAGAAACCACAAAGCCATGAAAATCCCAACTACATAGTGCAGAAAGAATGAAGCCAATCTGAAAAGTATGCAACTTCCAGAACACACACTCCAGAACATTCTGGAAAAACTAAGCTATGGAGGTAGTCAAAGACCTGAGGCTGAGAGGAGACACCGCAGGCAGAGGAATGTGCAGGGCACAGTATGCTTAGGGCAGGGCATCTGGATGTAGATACACAGTCACTGCTGAGTCTTTGTCAAACCCATAAGGTCACACCAGGGAAAAATAAAATTCAACACAAATTCGTGGCTCTGGCTCTCAGGGAAGAGGTCCAGTGATCAGTGTGTGTTAGTGCCCAGGTGATTGCTGGAGGCAGAGTGGCCTTTCTCTGCAGGTCTACGAGTACGTTCAAAATTAAAGTGTTTAAATGTAGCTCAGACTATATGCTTCCACAGTTAATGATGGAACTGCCCGCGTGGTGGCTGTCTTCCTTCCCATCTGTTCTCGAACACTGATAAGGAGCAAGAGGAGGCAACATCATAGAAACAGGTCCCAGCAAGATATTTTTAAGTGTTAGTATTTTTTTCCTAAGTCTTTCAGAGCTATAAATAATAAGTGAATGTATATGTTTGTGGTGTCCATCATGAAACATCACCACTAACAATTGTATGTGCTCACCTCCCTCCTTCTTACTAGGTCCTTTCTCTCGTTTGTGGTGAGAACACTTAGGATTAGCTGCCAATGATCCTCAAGCACTTACCACGGGGCTGTTGACCACAGTCATATCACAGTTCTTCAGGTTTTTTTTTCCTGACAGTTTTGAGAAAGACTCAAAGAAATCAAACAGGAATTGGTGGGTTCTGATACTTGGGCAAGTGCATGCTCGTATATGCCCTACTCTTGGGAATGCTCCATGCATATTCTTATACATGTTACATTTAAAAGCATGAAAGTAAGTTATTCCCATCTATACAGGGCACATATCATGCCAGGTCATTTGCCCCTTCCATATGAAAACTCTGCAAACTGTACAAACCCAAATCTTGAACACAGAAATGTCTTCCCAGCAGCTCAGAATCTAAGAAGGTATTCTACCTCTCCACTCACAACCTAAGCATTGCATCCTGGGTACAAGATGGGATTGACCACCAGGAAGTGACTGGTCATAGCAGCATGTCAACACAGGTGGGCTGCTCAGCCATGAGCCCTGTGGACAAGGGAGTTGTGCTCAGACTCCCATGAAAAATGAAATGACATCTTTGCAAAGAATTCTTAAAGCGGCCATCCAAGAAGGTATGGTAAACAGGTGGAAACACTGCAGTTTGTGTGTGTGTGTGTGTGTGTATGTGTGGTGGTGGGGATTGTTCATATATGCGTGATGAATACATAGTGCACACAAACCTTGTATCTTCAACAGCCTGCTTGTTTGAACTGCCATCCTGACTGAGTCCTTTCTGACTTTGTCACCTCCCCATCACTCTGTGTGTTTCAGGGCCAGGAACACAATTCTGAGTGTAGTTATGCTAAGACGTATCAGTGGGCTGAACAGAACCCTGCTTGGCTGTCCCCCAGCTGCTGCTATATGACGAACGTAGCAAGCCCAGTGCTTCCTCACCAAACTCACCACACCGGTTCTCATCTTCCTCATTGGGGCAGTGTGAGATCCCGTCGCACCAGAGAGAAGAGCTGATGCAGGTACCCGAAGACCCACACTCCATCTCAGATGTAGAGCACTTGCTATCCTCTGGAACTAAAGGAAGAAAGGGCGGGAGACTCATCAGGCTGAGCATCCAAGAAACTGTAGAGCCCATAAAAAGCTTGCCATCCACCCTCAAGCCCAGTGAATAGAAGAAACTGCCTCCTCATAAGAAAGGGATATATCATTGCCACCTACACACACATGGAGCTAGCACTGGGCACTCTTCTGCAGAGCCAATGGGAAGGGTGCTTGGGTAAGGGGAGCCGTCACGCTTCCTCCTCTTTGTCATCTCGTGGGCTTCAGTGGTCCACTAGGTGCACATGAGTCTACATCACTCCAGGCCACTTAAAAAGGCTTCAGTTACAAGATGTGGCATAGGAAGGGGACTGGCAGCCAAGGATACCACAGTTGTGCAGTGATATCCAAGGGTCAGGCTATGGCTATGCCTCCTTAAACATGCCCCAGCAGGGTACAGCATGGTTGGTACTTGGATGGGAGAACTAGTTTAGGATTTCTAGGATTTCCCAAGCCACAGGGTAGTGAAAGCAAAGCACAGATTCATGGGTACATGGAGGAAAGGGCTGCCTTGTCCAGAAGGAAAAAACCTAATTGGGAGGCATCAGGTGACTCCTTCAGCCTGGGGAGCAGGGTTACAGTCATAGCCATGCACACAGTGGCAGCACCCAGCCCAAAACTTACAGAACCTCCAAAGCAAAACAACAGCTACAGCAGCACCCACAAGGACAGTGCCCAGGGCAAGGGCAACACACAGCGACTTCTTGGTTTCTGCAGAATAGAGAGATGCTCAGGTTAGTGCTGTGAGAAGACGTCCTTCCACCATGCATCAAGTGTTGATGCTCCTCAGTATCCCACAGAGTTACCACGGAGTCATTCAACTTGAAAAATAACACAAGTCAAACTGGGCATAAATGCACGTCTGTCTATAATCCCAGTAGTTGGGGAGGTGAGCAGGAGAGGTGAGGGAATTTAATACTAGCCTAAAATACATGTGTTCCTATCCCAAAATACCAAAAAAGAGGAGAAGAAGCAGGAGGGGAAAGAGATTAGAAGTCCAAGTCCAAAATACACTTGCTATACATAACCAACAGTCCATCTTAACGTGGGCACATTTAAACTTGCTTAGAATTCTTACATTTCCTATAGCTGGGAAAATCACCCAGATAGATGTCTGTTCATATAATAAGGTGCTGGATTTTGCATGCACCCCATAGACTACCACACTGAAACTAAAAAGTGGAATGACTTTATGAGTACACTTCCACACCATCATGAAGTTAAAATTCCTAGTTAAGCTACTGTACGTGGGGCCATTTAGATACATTAGGAAAGAATAAAAACTAATTTATTCATTTGTTTTTTTTTCCTTTTTTTTTTGCTGCTAAAGATAAAACTCAGGGTTTCACTTATGCTACACAAGTGCTCTACCACTGAGATATTCCACACATATTTCTTTCTCTTTTTTTTTTTTTGGTTTTTGTTTTGTTTTGTTTGCATTTTAGAGACAGGGTTTTACTGTAGCTTTGGAGCCTGTCCTGGAACTAGCTCTTGTAGACCAGGTTGACCTCAAACTCCCAAGTGCTGGGATTAAAGGCATGTGCCACCACCACCTGGCTTCTTGATGCTTCTGTAGTGCAAAACACATGCTTGGGGAAATGGAAACTGAACCTACAGTTTGAAATGAAGTCCAGCAAAGCCAAGCTCTTAAAATACCACAGAACATCACAGGAAGGGTCTGAAAATAGGCCAATGTGCACATAAAAAAACAACTCAAAGAAGAGAGTTGCCTCATTTTAGCAACTGCAAGTTTGAGTCACATAATGTTGTCCCCCCAAAGTATCCTGAGGCTGCCAGGGGGTGCTCTAGGCAGAACACCTATCCTTTGTTGTGGAACTCCTTCAGTCACTCAGTCAATAGCCTTTAAGATACCAGCCCAATTTGGGCATGGTCTCGTGTACTATAAATGCAGATGAAAAGCATGCATGGGCCTCTTGGCTGCTGGATTCAGTTCCAGTTCTCAGCGCATGGAGAGAACTGCAGATTGCTACTCTGTGAGTTTATCCCCAGATAAACAAACCTTTGTTATACTCCATTCCAGGCTACTGTGGAACTTATTCGTATGCCAACAAATTGGCGCCTGCGTGGTCTGAATCCACGCCACTGCCAGGCCCCTGCCCAGGCCCCCATGGCCTTCTTCCACCCCACACAGCTGGACTACCCCTCTGGCACACAGCTGTGCAAGTTTTGGCTGGGCTGGCCCACAGCAGCTTAGCAATTTCACACCAGCTTGCTCCAGCCTGACTTGGTCCCACCTACTAAGCGGCTGAGTTACTGCCACCCCGGGTTTTCTGCCACAACACTTCCGTGGCTTCTCTTGCTTCTGCCAGCTTTCTCTGATCAGGCCGAGCTCTGACTCCGGTAACAGGGGCTCTAATCCTGCTCCTGGATACAGATTTGTGTTCGCAGTTTGGATCCGAAAATGCCTGGCCCAAGCTCCAGCCAGTAACCTCACAGCTCACAACTGCCTGCAAGCTCTAGGTTCCTGGATAGTCTGCCCAACTCAAACCTCCTTATGCAGATGTGCTGCTCTTACGAAATTAACTAAATTTGTTAGTAATTAAGTCTCAGGTAATTCAGGTACTGATCTAGGACCTGCCTTCCTGCCACAACTAAGACAGCTGCTGGCCAATCAAGATTATTACTCCTACAATAATTTTCTGAAAATTATAATGGAGGGAAGTTTATTTGATTAGTAAATAAATAAATAAATTTAAAAATTTTAAACCAACCCCAAGATAATTGCAGACAATATCATCATCCAGGAATTTAAGAACCCTTTTGTTTCTACTATGGATGGAATTCTGCCAAGAGCTATCTGAGTTACCTTGTACACATATTTTTGTGATCATGGCAGCTATTAGTTTTGTTCTTCATATTATATACTTAAAGAAATGGTTTGATAACAGAGTCAAGAATGAGAAACTTTTAGGATGGATACAGTCTTTAGCTGAAAGAATTTATACAATTGAAAATGATAACCTTAATTTGACAGGCAAAATTCAATCCATGCCAATAGCTTATGAAACTTTACAAAAGGATACTGAGAGATTATCTAAAAGGATTCATACTGTTGAAATTGACAATTAAAATCTGTTTAAAAGTTATGATAAGCTAGCAGATAGAAATATCTCCAGGAAGACAATCTGCATGCCATCCAAATAATATCTAAGGATGAGAAAATATCATTAACAGAAAAAATTTAAAACCTTGGAATCATATGTGCAAAGTGAGAATCAGAAATTAATTGATTTGATGAAATCATTAGAAATATTCACAGGTGAAGAAATTCAAGCATTACATATACAGTGGCAAAAAGATTTGAATTGATTGAGGAATTTGTCAGAACTGATAAGCAAGGAGAGGAAGTACAGGCAAAGGATTTAGCATCACCAGTACCTCCCATAGTCAAAGATGACTTATTAAGAGTTTTAGCTACTTATTCTGTTATTGCCTCTGAAAAGCCAACAAATACTCAATGCCAAAATGCAACAAAGAATGTAAATTGAAACCTATAGGTATGAAATATCTAAAAAAAAAAAATAAGCAAGCATTAGTATCTTATGGCATGCATTCACCATTTGTTGGGAGATGGTAAAGACATGGGCTTCAAATAATAGGGTTATTCCATATTTTATTGGCTTCAATTAGTCTCAATGGTACTAAAAGATGGGCTGCAGTCACAATGGAAGTGATATGGAAGAGAGGAGGCTAAAGTCCTAGAACAGAAAGGTAGGGACAAAGGATTTTAGGTTTCCCAATATCTAATTATTGGTGAGGGTTGTTATGCTGATCCACAAAGTCAAGCTATTTAAAATGAACACATCTTGTCCCTGTGCCAGCCTTGAATGCATGAGACAGGATTCAAGAATAGGAAGAAGAATTGAATCATATACTAAGATCATGCAAGACCTAAGAGTAACCTTTAGTGACTTTTTACAAATATTAAATAAAGCTGTACAAATAGGGGTAACATGAAAAATGTAGATGAGTACTTATTGAATCTCTGGCTTTTGAAAATGAAAACTTAGAATGCAAAAAGATACTTGGGTCTTTAAAGGTAACATCAGAACCAAAGGATCCTGCACATAGTCAATGTTAGGCCATTTGACTATAATACTGAGGTTTGGGTGGAAGAAGCAATTTCCAAAGATATGAATAGATATCAAAATAACAAATGCTTTAATTGTGGTAGAAGAGGACATCTGAGAAGGGATTGTAGACAAGGCATTCCTAGAAATAATGTTTCCTCTGGGAATGGCAAAAATAGATGGTCTCAATCTTCTGGATTATATAGAAGATGCAGCAAAGGCTGATATTGGACCAAAGAATGTAGATCACCAAGAGACACAAAAGGCAACCCATTACCATGGAGGGGGCCTCTTACAGACCTCCAGGCTTAATGTTGCCCAGTCATTCTCAGTCACTGTGGAGGACATGCCTTCCAGGAAAATTAAAAAATCCAGTGCTTGTTGTAAAATCCCATATTGCACTGGATGATAGAATAGAAATGAAGGATGAATAAAAAAATCCAATTGAAAATAGAAAACACATATTTTAGAAGACTTCTATACATGATCAAAGACCAAAACTGAGAGTATAAATAAATAACATTGTAATTGAAGGATTATTGGACATGGGTGCAGATGTGAATATTACTACTCCAGATTCTTGCCATCCGAATTGACCTCCTCAGGAGGCAGATGTTCAATTTCTAGGAATTGAAACCATATCTCAAGTAAAACAAAACATGAGATGGGTTCAATGCATAGAGCCAGAAGGACAGAGAGGAAGACGCAAGCCATATGTGGCTAATATAGCAGTCTATCTAAGGGACTGTGATCTGTTGCAGCAATGCAAAACTCAGATTAACATTCCTGTTGTCTCAGAGATGGAACATAAACCAACTCATGTTACTGAGAAGTGTATTATAAGGTACTACAAAAAAACAATCACCAACCCTTCAGGCCATGTGGAGATATACAGATTAATACAAATGGGTCAAATTAATATGTAAGAGCTAGCCAGTAAGAATCAAGAGCTAATAGGCCAAGCAGTGATTTAATAATTAATTAATTTAAAAAAAACATGCAGTTTCAAAGCAGCAGCTTCCTGGTTTACCAGCACAAATGGCTCTAACTCTTTTGGGAGATGATTCAGTTATGGGACACTTGAATGGGGTTTATGGGCCCAGGTGCTTGTATGCCCCCGTGGGGTTATGAGAAAAGTACCTGAGATCATGCCTGCAGCTCAGTGCCCCTCATCTGAACAGGCAATGGGATCTGGTCTGCTAGGAGTACACAGGTAGGAAAGCATGATGAATTCCCACTGCCACACACAGGGATAATTCCAGGCCGTGCAGTGATCTGTATCTCATATTTAGCTATTATTCAAATAAAAAGGGTTCATTGTTGCATGCTTCATCTCAGAGTTAAAGTGGTGAGCACAACTCCTACCTGATGGTTCCAGAGCTGGCAGTAATGGTACCTCTGCCATTCTGAAAGGTGAAGTGAGGCAGAATCAGCACCCAGGGCCACTGTGACCAAGCTGCTTATCATTTTAAAAGCATGCCAGGGCAGAAAAGAATTTCAGATACACAATAAGACAGATTCAGACATAAAGGCCTCTAGGCTTGGGAGAGAGAAGAAAAAGAGTATAGAGAGTTATAAAAAGAAGTAAATGGATTTTTTAAAAAAAAATAAAACTAAGTC